CACATCGTCGATGTTGCCAAATTGCAGTTTATTTTCGAATTATTTGCAGTTGAAATTTTTTTTTGCGTGTTAATCAATAATAATACGAATTCTATAATTAATTTTATAATTTCAGATTTATCTTGATATCCAAAATTAAGGTAAGAAGGATAATGAAGATTGTGAAATGAAAGTATTATGAATATATAAAATTATGTATATTATATGTATTGATGTTTTGAAGTATTACCATGACGAGTCTTATTATAGAACAATACACGCGCGTCAATCGGAAATAGAGGTAACATTTTACCTATAATGTTACTAATATAATATACTTTGATTATAATTAATGTTTGTATCATAATTTCTTAAAAATATCAAGTTAGTGGATTAATAGCAATTTTAGACATATATTTTATCGAAGAGTGTGTTGATAAGACTAAAATAAGCTTTATGTTTTATCTTTTTTTTTAGAAGGGAGATGGTTTGTATCGTAGAATACATTACAGTATTTAATATCGTGTACTTTGATATTCTTTTCTTAATTTACTGTAATTTCTTGTTTCCTATAATGCCAAATCTTGACAATATGGTGAAGGTTGATTTTTGATCTTATTAGTTTTATAAGAATAATAATAATAATAGAAATACAAGACTAAATTAAGACTTAGTTTGTGATTTATATTAAGATCTTTCTTATAATATTTGTTATGTCTTAATCTTAATACTATATTATGCTTGGTCTGGAAAATAAATGTTAAAATATCTTAATTTTGCATATCCTATTCCATCCTTCCATTAGGAAAAATATGGTTTATAAATCATATATGCTAAGAAAATCACATAAATTAGGTGTAAGAATAGAGAAATCTTAATGTAGCAGAAAAATTAATGCAATATATGTATAAGCAGAATTAAACAAGGTCACTGATGTTAATATTGCTGAAGGCTGATTCTACAATTTTAATTACGGATGCTAAAAGGCCTTTTAAGGCCTCCGTAGTTTTGATGGAATGTTAAAAAAACCTATTATGAACATGACATGGAGCTACAGCATTTAAAAATTAAAAGAAAAAAGTTGGCCACATGTCATCATTTTTAATTTCCCGAATCTTTAATAAAGCACTTTTTAAACGTAGCATAATAATCTAGATAGGAATCTAGAGTTTTATTTCTATATAATTTTATTGACTATGAAAATACATAATAAGCGTTCACGTGTTGTACGAAATATTAAAATAATAATATAAATAATATACCGCGTACTATGATTGAAAAAAAATAGCGTCAGCGATGACTATGAAATGAAAATCGCTGTCATTTTATATGGGAAATGCCCTTAATCGTCATTTCCCAGCCAACTGAACGCCGTTTTTTCAATCATATGGTATATATTGACAAAAAACACTGAAAAGCACATATCTGTTTTCTACTGAAAATAATTCCAAAATTACTCACAATCTGGCAACATCGAAGATGTGCGCATGCGTAGTGTCTAAGACTATATGCAGCAAAAACTCGTTTCAAGGTCAGCCACCGGATCCACACCATTACCTTTTCCTCTTGTAAAGACTATATCCGGGGACACACTGGCACAAAGTACCTACATTGTTGAAGTTTCTGTGTTGATTATTTATGATGAGTATGTCACTTTTTTGATTTTATTTGGGTTTTTCAAACACTTTAATCAACAAATCTTGAGAAAAAAAAGCTTAATGTGGCTTAAATACTGTTCAAATCAGTCCTAGCAGAAAAAAGCAGGAATACTAATTTAAAATTTCTTATGAATTTCTACATTTTTTAATATTTATTTTTAAACTTATCGTACAGGTCATATACACTCTTTACGAAAACATTTTCCAACTTGTTTCCGTGGTGTAGTGGTTATCACATCCGCCTAACACGCGGAAGGTCCCCGGTTCGATCCCGGGCGGAAACATTACTTTTTACTTTTTTTAATAAACATTAAATAATTTTTTTACTTCAATAATAATTTTATACGTGTGGTACAAAGTCCACATTGAAATATTTAGATTACGTTCCATGTTCCGTTACATTATGTTCAAAAATTACTTGCTTATTTACTTATACAATTTAATTTATGATAGAAAAAAAATTCTTTGTTTATCAAACACAATAATTGGCTTTATTATTTTTATTAAAACTATAAAAAAATAGGAAGTATGTCAGATTGTTTAGATCGTAAGATAAAATCACAGTTATAATAGATATTTAAATATGAACTATACTAAAATTAATAGGTAACATTCAGTCTATTTATTGAGTTAATGGAGACTAGTGCTCGGTCTCAAGAGTGACAAGTTTGGTACTAACAAAAATACATGTAATTTTCTCCATTGCAATCAGGGCCGCTTTATCCATTAGGCAAGATAGGCAGCTGCCTAGGGCGGCAGGCTCATGAGAGGCGGCATTTTTTAATGAAAACAATTCGGAAAAAATATGTTTGAAAATAAAACATACTGCGACAATATTATATTAGTTTTGAATTATTAAAATAAAATATTAAATATTGATTTACAATTAGTGTACATAGATTTCTGTAAGACGATTCGAACAACTTTGACAAAGAAATGCCAAGGAAAACCCATTTTTAAAAATATAATTTTTAGTTTAAAATTATTATTATCCTTATTTGTGCGTTTTTATTGTTATTAATTAATGTTAAAATTGATTTTCATGGAGTTTACGTTAATCCCTTTAAAATAAAAATATATAGGTCGTGTCAAAAAATTAGCAACAAATGGGAAAATATTTTATAATTTTGTTATTGAAAAAACTGTTTTCTGTTCAGCATGTTCAATTTTATAATTAAAATTGATGTCGTGCGACTAGTGTTGCACAAGACAAGAATTCTTGTCTTGAAAATCAATTTGTTGTCTTGTCTTGAAATTCAAGACAAGAAATTTTCAAAGTCTTTCTTGAATGGCAAAGTCTTGTCTTGTCTTGCAACACTCTTGAAATTTCTTGTCTTGAAAAATTTTACATTCTAACAAAAAAGTAATAATATTTCTATATTTTATTTCAGCGTCGTATACAAAATGTAATACGGAAAAATAAACAACAACGATGCTAACTTTAGCAAAAAAAAATCTTAACGGACCGCAAACGAACTACGAACTACGTCAACTCGCCCGTTTGACGAAATAGGAACCAAATAAAGGCTGAATAAGAATAAGTAAGGTTAAGTTCATTTTTTAGTTCTAGTTGCTAATTCTTGTTACTTTATTATGTCCTAATTTGGTTACCCGTTTGTTACTTTTATTTTTTATGGTATTTATTTTATTTTTTTATTTTTTATTATGGAAGATTGGTTGGAAAAGTTTGGACACAGGGTGTACGGAAAGGTCATGCTAGATTGTACTATATTTGCACTATTTGATACTACTTTTTGTTCGCGGAGCAATTTCGTGCATGAAAAGTAGTACCAAATAGCGCAAATAGCGTGCTCTACGAACCCACCATTAGTTCCAATACTACCGTTAGTTTTTTTTTATAATACCATTATACCAATATAATTTTGTGTATAATACCAATTACCAATAGGTACACGGTTTGTTGCCTCGACTGATTCCAATTCAAATAGAGAATTTTTTGTATAGTTCAAGGTTTCTTAAAGCTCCGTTGAAGAAATTCGCTCGAAAATTTCTGGCAACACTGTATTCAACGAAGTTACAGAGAGTATTTACATAAAAAGGAGCTCTACATATAGAACTCTATAGAGCAGGAATCGTATACATACCAAGAGAGAAAAAAATCAATTTCAATATATATTGATCTGTCAGCGGGCATCAATCAGCCTTTTGTCGATCTGTGCGAACGAAATCAAACATTTATTTCTGCAATTTAAATTATCCACACGTGATTTAAGAACGATTGAAAATGCAGTGGAGCGTTTGCAGGACTTTGCCTTTGACAGATCTGCCCGCGATCGTCTTATGTTTTGCATTCGACATTTTTCCGATAGTCTTCGGGTTCTATTTTCGAAAATAAACAATTCAAAACCAATTCCCAAAGTGAATTCTGTACAATAAAGACGGATACGATATAATACAGGGTGGTCCAAATTGTATTCGGGAAACTTCATTCTGTCCATAAAAATAAGTAATAATAGTCCAAGAGCCGGGTGCAAAAACATGCAAGAGTTTTCAGAAGGCTCATATTTTCAAAATTGATTGCATTTTAGTGTTAAAAAGCAAAGGTACAGCAGTTCCGGGACACCTGGAACGCGCGCAAAAGGTGTAATTTTAATTAACACCATCAAACTTTTCTGAAGGCTGAAAATTTATATATTATTAATTTATTATATTATAGTAAAACAAAAATATAACAATCAGACAGAGAAGTATGGGGACACAAAGCAACAGCGCTACCTCAAACGCCCACTTCAAAGAAAAAGTCTTTTATCTATGGTCTTTATCTAAGGCCTTTTATCTATGGCAGTTTGGAGGTCTTAATTAAAATTACACTTTTGCGCGCCCTTCTCAGCGCCAGATGTCCGGGAACTGGAACTGCTGACTGTACCTTTGCTTTTAACACTAATATGCAATCGATTTTTGAAAATGAGCCTTCAGAAAACTCTTGCATGTTTTTGCACCCGGCTCTTGGACTAGTTCTTACGGCTCTTGGACAGTTCGTATAATGCCTATGTCCTAAAATGCTTCGTTTCGGAGGTCCTACAGGGTGTAAATAATACTCACTTTTATTTTGGGAATTTCTTTATGATTTTTTATTATTTCTTTAAAATTATTTTCAAAATTCATTTTATCTTTGATATGAGGAATTCCTGCTACCTCGCATATAACTAATAAATTTAAATCATTCGCATTTTTAATTCTGTCTAATCGATGTCTGTTAAAGTAAACAAACTTCAGGTTCAAGTTCAAGATTAAACTGATTTCGTCACGTTTGTTATGACGGAAGTCATAGTAATGGACGTTGGCTCACGTTTATAGCAATACTACCGGATTGACTAATATAAATACATAATTTAGATGTAAGAAAATTTACTTTTGATTTTTTAATTTCAAGGGGACTCGAAATTTTTTGATCGTCATGAATTTTGTGCTAGTTGTTGCAGTTATGATATCTTGCGGTGTCTTATATGAGGTAAGTAATACTTTGACTAAAGAATAGTTGTAATAGAAATTATTTCTTTTTTTAATAATTTTAATTAACTTGCTTTTAAAAGTGCCCAGTGTTCAATATTAATTTTGTCTCACTCTGTATAATTTTTCCGACCAAGTTTTAATTTGATTTAAAAAGTACAATAGTTATTTTAACTATACCGGGTGCGTCTCGAAAGTGGCTCACCCTATAACTTTTTTATTTTTTCACATAAAAAAATGAAATTTCGTATGTTGGTATATGACACAAATTAGGATTGTCTGACGTATTAATTATTTTAGGTCGCTTCCTGTTTTACCGGAAATCACTACAACTTTTAATTTTTAAATGACACTCTCGGTATATTTTTACTTTATATGATAAAAAATGACACTCTGAGTAGAATGACATATCATATGTCAACCTTTGACATTTTCGCTTTAAAAAAAAACCGTAATTTAAATTTCAATCACTCTAGATTTTTGGAAAAATAGGTTTGATCCTCTAATGTGAATTTAATTAATCCCAATTTATGTCATATTAGTCATATATTAACATACCAAATCTCGATTTTTATCTAAAAAAATAAAAAAAGTTATAGAGGGGCGAGCCACTTTTGAACCTCACCCGGTATGTTGGGCTACACCGGGTAAATTCTAATTAATATATAGGGTGTTCCAATAAAAAAACACCACTTTGATCTGTAACGTTTTTGGGGACACCCTGTATAACAAGCGCATTTTTAAAAAGATGTTCTAAATTAATCTACATTTGTTCACAAAATTTAATTTTAATACCAATCGTCGTTCTTCTTAATGCCTCCGCTACGTATAACAGGCACCACCCTGTAGGTGTCAATGATTTTAGTAATAGATTTTTTTTTGTATTTGAATGCTTATGTTACTTATTTCCTTTTTTTTAGACATCCGCAACTCTCATTCCACCACCGTGTAATGCACCCTGCTTGAACCCAAAGCTAGCTCTCTACCAGAAATTCCCTCTGTGCTATTCCCTCAAGGCCAAACTATGCAAACGTGTCTGTGATCCACTGAAACAAGTACCTTTGTGCCCCACGCCAGAACCACCCAGTGCTGTCCCATGCCTGGCAGCACCACCAGTTGTTTATGCTCCTGCACCGGCTCCATGTGCTCCCGCTGCACCACAGGTAGTCTATGCTCCCGCACCTGTTCCTTGTGCTCCAGCTACACCGCAGATAGTCTACGCACCAGCTCCTGTAGCTCCAGTGGTTGCTGTATCTCCAGCACCTGCGCCTGCATGTCTGCCAATTCCTCCGCAGTATGTTCCAGCACCGCCAGCTTACACTTGTGTCTAAAAAATGTTTTTTGTATTTAATGTAATAATTCTATTCTCAAAATGTTATAAGATTGTTAATATAATATAAGGCCATCATATCTCCTCAGTTTATTTAAACTATTATATATCGGATGGTTTATCGAAGTTGAAAACATGAAATTCCTTGCAAATTTTGAACTGTCCAAATCTTGGCTTCCCTATTGATTCTACAGCGAAGTTGGAAACAGGTTTTTTAAAGGTTCTCGTTTGTTGAGTTTGCCAAATTTGAAGAATTTTAGAATAGCCGATTTTAGTAAGTAATTTAAGAAAAAAACTGCATTTTTAAATTAAAACTGAACCAGTAACAATGCAAATACAGGCAAATGACAACGTACCTTAAGCTATCACCCTATAATTTTGTCAATGTTAAATTGTATTTTTTAAACATTAGGCTTTTGCCTCATTCGAGTCAGTTTTAAAATACAAAAATACATTCCGACGACACTAAGCGTAGGTACTATACAATAGCACAACAAATTACATTTGACAATGATAAAATCATTGGTTGACTACTTTTGCTTGATGATTGTTTGATCTTCAACTACTTTGTTTATCGCTGAAGTTTTCGTTTTTTTTCTCCAATTTAACTACACCTTAAAAATCACACATTAAAAAATAAGGAAGAGTACGGATCAAGTAAATGTCATCTAGAGCTTGACCTCGCCAAAATTACGATGATTGCCATTTCCCAGGCGTCTTTGACGCCGTTTCTTTCGATCCTATGATACAGCATTATGGAAAATATATAATTTCTAGACTTCTGTAGCTAATTTTATTGACCATGCTGTATATGCTTTTAATGATTATTAGTTTTAACAAATTCAAACGATAATGTTATTGTTTATTACCTCATCCAATGCTGTGATTATCTAATTAGTTTTTAGATTTGTTTTACATAAACAAATCGAATACCGTCATTAAATATTATGTAATGTTCGTAAGCTTGGGGTTGAAGTAGTTAATATAAATATATTGATGTATAATTTTTTTGTTTCTTTATTTGTATTAAGTTTATTTTGTTCAATTCCTAAGTCATATTCAGCTACAATATAAAATAACATACAGGGTATCTCTGTTACACCATTCTAAATTAAACAAAGAAAATAACGATCTAGCTAGAAAAGGAACGAACACTCCATTAACTAGACTAGAACTGTTCTTCTTCCCAGGTGAAAACCAACTTAAAGCAGAACTCTGGAAGACTCCATCCGTAACCGGGAATGAGAATCATCCAACGATCTAAGTACACTCGAAGACATTTCTCAGAACTTACGAATGAGAAAAATCAAAAAATTTTCTTGATTTAAGTAAGAACAATCTCCGGATTGTTACGGGGTTTGTAACAGGACACTGTCTCAACACCTCAGTAAATTGAAGCTAAAGGGCCCCATTCACGTTGAGATCGGTATCGATACGTGTATCGCGACAGGAAGCGATACATGCATCTGAGATTTGTATCCATGTTTCAAAGATTCCTACACGTTGAGACGAAATCAGGAAACAACAGTGTTCAAATTGAAAACCAAAATGGTGCTGCCTGCCATGCCGGTGCAGTATTGTATGCCGGGTAGTTGTATTATCAGGCATTTCAAAAAAGAAAAAAAGACGAAAAAGAATATGGGTTAAAAAATGGTTACGTGAGAGAAACAAATACGCAGTGGCAAATTTACTACAAGAATTAAACGTCGACGAACCAGATCTCCCAAAACTCACGATCTTCCATGTTGGAAACGAGTGAAAACGACAGTGTTTATATTTTGGTATCGCGATACATAATAACATCAACATACACGTTGCGACAAGTATCAGTTGCATGCGTTTGGTATCGAAGTTTCACTACATTGATACAGACGGCGATACCATCCGATACCGATACAGCGATAGTGAGACAGACAAATACACTGTGAGATTTGTGTCAAGATACTGACACTTGCAACATGTATCGATACCGATCTCAACGTGAATTGGGCCCTTAAGAAACAACGGTGAATGCAGATTCTGTGGCGAAAATAAAGAAACAGCAGAACGCCTCATTCCGGTGTTCAATGGGGAATTTCTATATCTTCAAAATATTATTAAGGTTGCTCACCCCTCAGACAAAGATTTTCCTCCATATTTTAATTTTTATGATTTTGCGTCAGTAGATCTTTATTATTTGAAAAAATCTAGGTGGCTGTGATATACCTTTTGTTAATTTAACAAAAATTAAAGATTGTAGAGTAAAATACTCAGGTGCCCGGTGGCGTAGAGGTACAGGCTCTCGTCTACCAATCTCAAGGTAGTGGGTTCGATTCCCACACACGGCATTGCATCAGCCGACTATTTTTATTAAAATAAAAATAGTTTGGGTACCTAGGTCGACTCAGCCTTAAATGAGTACTTGGGATTCACAATCCTGAGGTAATAATAGGCGGTTGAAGCGTAGTGCTAGCCACATTACCTTCCTTGTATACCGAACGGCTCTAGTATGGCAAGCTGTACCTTGCTACTCCCAAAGCGTTAAACGCTATATACGGGAGCTATTATTATTATTATAGAGTAAAATACTCAACGGTAATAAAAAGATACACGTTTAAAACATATTTTAATTATTACAGAATTAAAACTAGATATAAACCTATAATTATGTGGCAAAAATTAGCTAAATGAAATCAAATGCTAAAAATGCTTCCTTTCCTGTTAACTGCATAAAATGATTGTCTTTTCAAAAGGCAGTGTAACGTTATTAGTTCGTTACATGTCTTTTTTATATATAATATATGATGTCTGGCCTATCATCACCGGATTCCGTATCGTTCAGGCCTGATAATTTATTTGGCACCCTTGGCGTAATTTTTACGTTTCCTAGTCGCCAACTCTGCTATCGCTTCACTGTTCTGTGGAGGCGCGCGCTGTCAAGATCCTGTCAAGGCGCCTCTCTGCGTTTTAACCTCACTTTGTTTTTGGTTGCAAATCCTGCTTTTAGAAATGACAATTTAAATCTTGCTGCAAAATCTGAATCAGCTGCCATTTCGAAGCTACAGGTAAAGATGAGTTATTATCTTTTATAGATTCGATATTATTATTGAATATTTTTAGGGTAGAGTTTTGGATTGACCCACCTTAACTCGTATTTGTATTTTGCTGACACGTTGGTGTACTTTTGCTGTTGTCCTCCAGAATGTTAAATGGTAGAAAGGACAGTTCTTTTGTTTATTATTGAGCCCTCGGAAGTGTTTCGAGGTAGGTTTATTTTGTTTATTACACCTTGTTTGGTTTTTTAAACAAGAGTTTCGTATTTTTAGGGTCTTATGGACGGACTGTGTCCAAGGTATGGGCAGGTGTCCCATATCTATGTATTGATTCCAAGGTTCGGGCATTATCCAAGGTCCTAGTAGTGTTCCAAGGTACGGGTAGTGTCCCCATATTGCCACAGTATGGATGTAGCGTAAGCCCCATGCTGCTTCGTTCCCATTTCTCAGTCTAGTCAGCAGTTACGGCTGTATCAATTCATGGATGGCCGTGTACAGAGATGTAAGCCCACCTCACGCTGTTACTGTTTGAAGCAAGATTCCATAAAAACAGCTAAGTGTAGATTTAAGTTCTAGTTTTACATTTAACATTTAAAAAATTTTCAGTCTTAAACAATAACGTACATCTTAAGTAATATCGTACAGACTATGTTTAGTGGTTAGATTGTTAAGAACATTCATGTCGATTTAATATTTAAAATATGATTTATATCTTAGGTTTCATTACATTACGTCTTGTAATGGTATTACTTTTATAGATATTTAGTACAACTCTTATCACTACTTTCTTTGACATATAACCACTATATATTTATTAGAATTCTACAATGTCATGTACCAGCAAAGAACATCATGAAATATAGTCATTAGTTTTAAGTAATATACAACTGTGTTTTCTTTCTCTGTACATGCCTGGCGCCCAATATCTATATTTTTTTGTTTATTGTTATTGATTAGTTTTCTCTCTAGTGAAATACCTTACCCACGACTGCTCTCCGATGAAAAGCTGCCGTTCGCAGTGGTAATGTTTATAAAAAACGCTACAGCATATGTGGAGTTCTACCTCGAAAAGCAGTCGCAATAATTTCTCTCATGTTGTCGACAATAGTTGGTCGAGTTTTGTAAACACTGTTTTTAACATATCCCCATGAAAAAAAAAACAGACTAGATAAAATCATGAGCATTTCAGTATTCTATTAATTGGTGAAAGCACACTGCATCCACCAACTAATAGAATCATATCAATTCTATCTGATGTAGGACGTTTGCATTTTCGGCAAATTCCTGGGAAATTTTTTTGTGTTTTAACTGACACAAAATGATAACTAGTTGTTAAAGTTGGACTAATTAGACAGATATCTTGAAGTAGCGTCAGACATATCACAGCCAACTAGATTTTATCAAATAATAAAGATACTCAGATCAAATCATGTAAATGAAAATATCTAGGAAAATCTTTGTTTGGGGGGTAGGCAACCTTAATAGTATTTTAAAGAGACAGGAATTTTCCATTAAATATCGGAATAATATACCGGGTGTTCCATTTAAAATATAAGAGTAACATGCTTTTAAATGTGAGCAATGTTCAATATTAATTTTGTCTCACCCTGTATAACTTTTTGGATCAATGAAACGCAATAATTATGACTTACGCATGCCATAATTCCAGAACCCGAGCGGCACGCGAAATTTGTCGCTACAAATCCATGATTCATCAAAAATAATAGGAGTAATGAATCATTGTTTGCAACCCTATCATGTCTCGTCGGGGCGATACTGGATTGCTAGGGGTTGGATTTTCGCAAATTGAATGTGTCCCGTTTTGATTGTATCTTTTTACGGTTTGCGTGCACCCACTTTCAGTGCGATCGTAATGTTTTTACTCACAAGGGTGGGCTGGTTTATGCGTTTGTGTATGTGGAATTGACTATGTGCAGTTAAAAATCCAATTTCCTAATAGAAATTAACGTAGCAATAATAAATAAATTTGAAAAATATACAGGGTCAGGCTTAAATAAGTGCAAATATTTTCAGGGCTGGTAGATCTCGATAAAAGAAACATTTTCTCTTTACCGTTTTTCAAATAAAGCTTCATTCAGAACCTCGCAATTAACGAAATAAATTAGTGGTTTCAATTAGCGTAG